CTTAATCTTCAGCCTGGTATAGACGCTCCTTTACTTCTGTACTTTCTTCCCTCGAGCCGCTGAACTTTGAGTCTATGAGAAGAAGAACAATCAGTCTGATCGGCTAGCAAGTTCTGCTATTCCATACGTCCAGTGTTTCTAGGAGAGCCTTAAGGGTGTTCCAGATACTTTTTAGTTCTTGCTTGGTATTCTGTGTAACGGGCATGATTTTGTCTTTTGGTACCCGCTTAAAGGCGTGTCAATGAACACCAAATCGCTCAGCAGACGGGGCTTTTCAGTTCGTGTCTGAGGCAGTGATGCATGCAGACTTAGCATAAATAATTAAATAATTGTTGCATTCTTTTTCTCGCGACTTCATCTCGCCGGTGCACACAACGGCGGAGGGTTGAAAAAACATCCCACTTAAGCTGGACACTTTCCGCCAACTACACTTCATGGCTCGGGACTTTTACATTTTTAGACTTTCAATAGGTCTGACCTGGTTCTGATGACTCAACTCGACGTATCCATGTCTTCTCTACGTGAGTGATGCCAGGCTGTTTGTGGATATAGACACACGGCTGTCCAAGACGCACATAATACTTGGCTGCTTCAGCACTGCCTCTTCAGGCCGGCTGGATTGGCCGTATATTTCTATGACGCAGATACCTCTTTGTAGGTGTGTACAGATCGCTCCATACCGTCCATCGTAAAGCCAACAGTTCGCCCCACCCCCGCCCCAACCGCCTCCACTACCACCACTAAAACCGCCGGCGCAACCAGCTCTCTCTGCACTATGGTGTAGAACTCACATTTTTATTTCTTCTTGATCGGCTGAGTGCTTCTCTTTGAGGCGACACGACAGACAGACCGGTTGCCAGGCTCACAGGTCGCCAAGGCCGTGTGGTGCATGTACTAAACTGCAGAAATAGGCACACATGACACGTGGTTGTGACTGCGCGGACACAGCTATGCTGGATAGAATGAGCGACGAGTGGATGATTCAACCACTTCGCGACCTCACCTGCAAACTTCTCTTCCACATCCTCCATCCCCCGCCCCCTTCACCTGCCTCACCGCCACCACAGCTACCTGCGCACCCGCGCCAGCATCAGCATTAGCATCAGCATCAGCATCAGCATCAGCATCAGCATCAATATCAGCATAAACACAAGCCTGATACGCCTTGGTTAAGTTCATCTCTTTCTCCCTACGTCCGGCTACCTACTCTTCTGTAGGCTGTCGGCCGATGTGGGTGTGAGTCTCTGCGTCTGTGTGTTTCTGTCCAGCGTTAGTTTCTGGTTGAATTCCTTTTTCGGCTTTCCAAAGGTCAAAAGTCTGCTCGACCCCACTTCGAGTGACCTCTGTGAAAAAGGAGGAATGCAGAACGTAACGGTATGATGACTGGTTGTCTGCTGCCTCTTGTAGCCGTCGGCTCACCTCAAGGCAGGCGCGTTTGGCTTGCCACCTCGGTTCACCTGTGCTTCGGTTAACCTCAAATTGTCCTTTTGTACCTGGCCTAGGACCATCCTACACGTGCGCACGCGATGCACATAAATGTGCCTACTCGTGGGCCGGTGGCCTGCCATGGGGACAGGCCAGCGCAGGTGCCCGCCTGCCCAAACAGGGCGTCTGTTTAGAAGAAGAGCCCACATGTGACGCCACCTCCCTGGCTGGGCAGCAGGCATCGTCTCTTCCTCCACCACTCTGGGTGCTTCGGACGATGCCATGCTGTCCTATCGTGCTGTTGGTTACATTACACTATGCTATATCCGGCCGGCTGTCCGCTTGTCTGTACAACTATCCGACTTATCCATCTATCAGCACTATTCTTACCTGATCACATTGCTTTCCTTTCCTTCTCATTCTATTTACCTACCTTGCCAACCTTTCAATCTATCCATCACCTAGCCAACTACTCTACTTAACCTGTCACACATCTACTAACCCAGATATATTTCCTCCCACCTATCTACAAATCTATCTATCAACCTAACTACTAATCATCATACGCGCCTACTTACCTATCCACCTATTAATATATCTGTCCAAATAGCTACTCACATTTTTATCTATCGATATACTTAGATTACTATCAACCTGAACAGCGACCTAAAAACTGACGTATCGACCGACCTTATGGTCTGACAACCTACATAATTAAACACTAATCTAACTACAGAACTAAGTACTTATTTGCATACTATCTATCTGAATATCTGACCGTATACTTAACAACCTGCTTATATGTCTGCTCATAGGCATAACAGTTTGACTACCTAAAAAATGATCACCCTTGGTATTGCCCCAACAAACCCGTCTGCCTATCAAACTATCTACACACATACTTAACTCCGTGTCTATCCAGCTATCTACTTGAAAACCTAACAAGCTATCTAATTATCAACATACCCAACTGTCTAACTACCAAGCTAGATACCTGCCTACATGCATAAATGTATACCTTGCCACTTATCCATCGCCTAGCTACCTGCAGATTTATCCAACACTCTACCTTACTTCCTACATCAGTAACTATTTACATAGATACCTACCTAACTAATTACACACCTACCTATAAAACTTCCTACCTAACTAACTAACTATCTACCTACCTACTTACAAAT